TAATTTAATTCTTATTACTAATAAGATAGTAATAAGAACAAGCCCTGTTCTTAAAAACAAGAACAAGCCCTGATGTGGTATGGCTCGGTCAACTGAGCACTGGCCTGGGAATCTTTGGAGGAAAAGGTCACCAGTTCGTTCCTGGTCAGGACACATGCCTGGGTTACTGGCCAGTCTCAAGTTGGGGGCATTGGAGAGGCAATTAGTCATGTGTTTCTCTCCTTCTTTCTCCCTCCTTTCCCTGTCTCTCTAAAAATAAATAAAATCTATTAAAAAATAAAAACAAGAACAAATTTCTAGGTGGTTCATTTATTAGTTATAAATAATTGCTTCAGCCCTTGGCCAGGGCTGAAGGCCAAAATGGTTAGAGGATAACCCCACTCTCCAAGGTTGCAGGTTCAATCCCCGGTCAGGACACATACAAGAATCAACCAAATGAATGCATAAATAAGTGAACGACAAACTGATGCTTTTCTCTTTCTCTCTCCCTAAAAAAAATTAAATAAATAAAATAATAATAATAATAATTCCTACACATTTTCTCAAATTATACTATACAGGGGTGGGCAAAAGGAGGTTTACAATTGTGAGTATACAAAACAAAGCTTACTCTTGCACTATTATTTATTAATTATTGTATTTTTTAAAGATTTTATTTATTTATCTTTAGAGGGGAAGGGAAGGAGAGAGGGAGAGAAATATCAATGTATGGTTGCTTCTCATGCATCCCCTGCTGGGAATTAGCCTGCAACCCGGGCATGTGCTCTGGCTGGAAATTGAACCGCAGTCCTTTGGTTCGCAGGCCCACGCTCAATCCAGTGAGCTGCACCAGCCAGGGTAATTATTGTATTATTTTTCATACAAACTGTAAACCTACTTTTGTCAACTCCTATGTAAAAGGTCTATCACCAAGCTTTAATGACTCTACAATAACTGACCACAAAGAGAAAGACTAACTTACATATGGATGTTCAGAAATGTTGCCACAAAGCAGGATTAAACTATCCTCATAATAAAATTCCAGCTCTACTCTCTACCAAACACATACACAAAAACTTCAGTTGAAGATTGAGGTATCTGTTTAAGGAGTAATCTGGTTTGCTTCACATTCCTGGGAAGCTGATACTTCTAGAAAATAAGATACTTTAAACTGATTTTATCTCACTGCAACTGGAGTCTTCAGTACCTGAACTCTTGCAAAATGTTAACTGAGCGAATCTTTCCAATTTTTTCCACTGTATTCTGCTTTCATATGTTAATTTTATCACATCTTTAAAACATTTTTTTAATGTATGGATTTTAGAGAAAGGGAGAGCTTGTTCCACTTCTTTATGCATTCACTGGTTGCTTCTCATATGTGCCCTGACTCAGGATCCAACCTGAAACCTTGGCACATTCAGACAGCGCTGTAACCAACTGGGCCACCCTGCCTGGGCTTATCACATTCCTTTAATCATTATTTGTGAGTCTGTATATCAGTATCACTAAATAGCAACTGACCCAAACTTGTGATCCCAAACTTTAGGCCATGAGAAGCCTTACTTCTTACCACATGAAGATATAGTTATCTGGTGCTTAGAATGTAAATAAGGTGTTACAGTCATTACTTGATATAAAATGTCTCCTAGAAATGTGTTCTTCAGGGTTCTTTTCTACCCATACTCCTTTCTTTTGAGTAAAAATAGTATCTATTTTTATTGATTGATTCTAGAGAGAAAAGGGAGAGGGTGAAAGAAGGAGAGAGAGATTGAGAGACAGATTTGTTGTTCCACTTATTTATGCACTTATTGGTTGATTTCTTGTATGTGTCCTGATTACAGATCAAACCTGCAACCTTGGCATATTCCGATGATGCTCTAACCAAATGATCTGGGGGCCGGGGCCAATAAAATGTTTTTTTAATAACAGCATTTGGGGAGAACTATGTGCCATTTTCCCAGTATCCTATGTCAACTCGGGCAGTACTCACCAGATAAAAGATGGAGCCTAAGAGACAAGACGACAGTCTAGGAACTTTTGAGTTCCCTCTCCCTGATTACTTTAAAACGTACATACCTTCACTTTCCCAACATAATATAAAATTAAAAAACAAAATCTAGCCTAACTTGTCTCTTAGGACTTTGAAGATAAATAAAACAACAAAGCACCTACTCCTCCTTTCAAACATGCAAGAGCTTTCAATAACTGCTTTAATAATGAATGAAGTGCTTGAGCTCTTGATAACAAAATACTCTATTATTATTAGAAAGTAATTAGTTGGTTGATGTAAGAATTTGGGTGGGGCCGTTCTTTCATTGTTATCAAGTGTACATGAAAATAGATGCTTAAGAACATTTATATTGAGCTGGGCGGGTCAAATGGTATGTTGAAAATACTGTCCTAGATGGCCAAAAATATTAAATTGTTGAAGGTAAGCCATAGAATATCCTTTTCCAGAGACAAAGATAGAGATGTGTGTGTGTGTGAGAGATCTTCTGGGACTCTGGAAAGGGAGAGAAGAATGGATGATCTCTGCGGTAAACCTGTGAGCAGAGAGAAAACTAACGGGAAGGCGAATCAGGATTGAAAAATCCATGGTCGGACGTCCTTTCCATTTTTTTTTCCTCTCTATTGCACACGTCCCCACTGAGCCTCCAGCTGTACAAACAACTGTGCAAGAGGCGGGGCCCTTACGCTCTCGTTCAGATTAGCGTGCTCACTGATAATCTTCAGGCTACTCCCGGGGCCCGGGAACTAGAGTCCCCGTTTTCTCCTCTATCACAAATCCTCCCGTTTCCCAGCAAAATTCTGTCTTTAGCGAAGAGAGTCAATTTGGGGCAGAGAGCCAAGATCTCAGCCTAGGGAGCAGCCCCCGAGCCGGGCTCCGCGAGGCCCCCTACTGGTCACCTCTGCGGCCTTGGCTTCCCTTGGTCCAGCTCCCCAGCCCCAGGTCTTACACCCACCCCCTTCTTCACCTCCTCCCAGTCCCCTCCCCTTCCTCCCGGCAACATCCCCTTCCTCTTCGTCCCCCTCCCCCAGATGCCCCCGCTCAGACGAAGGGGCGCCGCTCTGGGCCGGGCTGGGAAGCGGTGCAACTTCTCGCAGTACTCTCCCTGCCAGTCTGACACCCCCCGAGTCCACCCATCTCTTCTTCCCCCTCACCTCCTCGTCCGGAACGCCGCCGGCAGCGTTTTCGCCAAGCCCGCCAGTTTGGTCCCGTTTCCTTCTCTAGTCTAGACTCCCTGTCAGTGACGGTTACTTTTTGGCCTTTTCATATATGCATATTTGGGGGGCCTTTAACCCCCCTCGTGGAGAAATGGAGGCAGTAAAATGGCGGACCCGGAAGTGGAGGATCTGCGAAAGTAATTTCTGGCGGAGGAATCTGTGAAGAGAAAATTATTAGAAAACCTACATTTCCATTCGAACAGAAGGATGATGCACCTCCGAGGATCATTTACTATTCACCGAAGGCCTTTTGCAGTGAAAAAGCGTGTATCCTAGAAATACTAGACAGGACTATTTAGCGTGGCGGAGGGTTGTCGATTACGTGTCTTACGTGTCATATAGACCCGGCAGGGGACGGACAGATGGTTTGTTTTGGCGCCAAGAATCAAGCGAACCTCGAAAGAGAAATGGGATTACATCTCCGTCTTGCGCCGTGGTTGCTTCGTGGGAGGACGGCCACAGGGTTAATAGGAAAACGTTGTTTCATTGTCTCAAGCTAGGGTGAAATAGTTTGGAACTTTCCTGGCTTTGCGCAAGAATTGAACTCAGCTGCCTGACGGGCATATTTCCAGTTGCAGCCGGAACGTAAGGACCCTCCTGGAACCGAGCTGTCAGCAGGATCAGTGAAGCAAATAACGAAGGCAATTCATTTAGGGGGCCTGCAAGAAGATGGAGCATGAGTTCGCAAATCCATTTAGGCATTTTATTTACCAAACAGGTGTGTCCCACCTCCACCGACCAAATGCCATGACTAAAGGACAGTTACAAGTCAGGAAAGTCCTTCAAAAATAAGTAAAAACAGGAAAGGACACATCATCGAGCCATTCTTTATTTGATTTTGGCTTTTGATGTTGATAGTCGGCCTCAAAGTCTACAGGGAAGATTCACGTGTTTCCCTTTTCTGGACTTATCTCGATGTCGTTTATGTCATCTTTAAAGTATTTACAGGATGTTGCCCAAGCACTGTCGTGTATCGGTATTTCTAGCTTCCCTTTCTAAGTCTGAGAGTCAAAATCTTGTTTCATTGTTGTTTACATTCTTTTATACTGTCTGGCTCAGTGCCTTTCATAGAGTAGGCACCCCAAAACTACTTGTTAGTAAAAATGTTTTTTTAATGAGTTTTAAGTAAGCAGGTAACATTATTTGGGTGAATTTATTTTTCTTTGGCACCTAGGCTGAGATAAGAAACATTATCGTGCCAGAGGTGCCTCCTGAAACACCTAGAATTACTACCCAAATATGTTGGTAGTGGGCAAGCAGAAGAATGATGGGTTGCAGCTTTCTAGCTAAATAATTTTAAGTCAGTTTCACCCTTTACCTTGTTACTTACCCATTCAACCTAAAGTCAGTTATGTTAATGTGTAAAAATTACTCGTCATTCTTCCTCAAAGTTGAATATTAGAAATATATATATAAGCTGAATGTGAAAACAAGGCTAACTTGTGAAATTCTAGATTGTGTTACTGTGAAAAGAGAAAACTAGAATGCAATCCTGGGATTGAATGTCTTTATTAAAGATATGAGTAAATGGCAGCACAAATCAGCAAAAATTTCGGAAAGAGTGGGAACAGGGTGTAGGGTCAGAATGATTGCTCACCACCTGGTCTCAAGGTAAGCTGAAGAGCTGTGCCTGAGGCCCGGTGATCAGTATCAGTGGGAGATGCAAGAGGGCAACTCTAAAGTACTAAGGACTGAACCCTATACCTTTTAGGAATGGAATCAAGACCTTACAAATTATCATTAATAGTCAGCAAGATTGCATTTTAAGATTTGAAATTGCGTGATTTTCCTCAATCCACAGTTAGGAGGAAAATTATAAAGTGAGTAGACTTAAGAAACATCCTTTTGAGAGAGTGTAACTGTTCCTGAAATGATTCAGAGCTTCCCCTATTTTCATTTTCCAAGACATATTATTTCCTTTTGTGTTATACATTTACCCACCAATTCAGAAAAAGCAAGTGTCTTATCACCTTATTCTTTTAGAAATCCTACTGTCTTGTAGCAGGTAATCTGAAATTATAACTTACAAGGCATTCATCAAACCTTGAAGAAATATTTGCGTTTACTGGTCTGGAGCAGGGAATTAGGAAGGTTTGAGCAATCTCTAAAGCTAATTAAAATGAGGTTAAAAAAAAAAATGTATCAGTCCTTCTATTATACTATTACTCTCTGGTGCCCCCATCAGGCCTGTTTTCTGGAATTAATACGGGGTGGAGAGGAGGTATCCCTGTGACCCAGTTGCTAAGTACTCCATTGCTTGAATCCTTTACTTTGTGGCTTGAGGGCTCTTGACACCCCCCAGAAACTGGAAAAAATACTTTAAATAAATAAACAAACAAACAAATAAATAAGTACAGAACTCTGGCAGATTCATCAGCACCACCTCAACACAGTGGAGGAGAGAAAGCAAGATTGATAGGGGAAAAGGATGGAAAGGAAAGGGTTTGAAAGGGAAGACAATAAGGGCCAAGTGGTGGGAGAGAGGAGTCTTGGGCTTAGAGCAAGTCCAGTTCAAAGGAGTGGATGCTGGCAATGGGAGCTCTCCAGAAGTTGAAGGTGCTGTACTCGAGGAGGACATCGTCTTCAGGATTTTTCTCCTGCTCTGTTCCAGTTGCTTGCCCGGTCATTTTGCCAACGCTGCTGTCCTTGACCTTGTAGGTGGACGTATCTGACAGACCCAGGCTTTCCAACTCCGACAGATCCAATTCTGGAATGGGCATCCTCCAGAAAAGAAAAGAGCTGTACTGGCTACTCACAGGGTCCCTCATAACTTCCTAGAAAGAAATCGTTTGTCAGTCTTCATGCCATAACAAACTCTTTGTGGTGCACTGTCTTTCCTTACTTAAAAACTTTACATATGCATTTGCCTCTGTACATAACCCAAGCTCCCTAGGACATTCTTCAAGAATCTTTTTTATATTACCATTTTCTACTATTTCCACACTTCTCCTCAGCAAATGACTTATTTACTGCCTACTACTTCAAGTCAATCTTGAGTTTGGTTTTCAAGGCCTTCCAGAATCTGGCCCTATTCTTCCTAGTAGTAGCACGTTCTCTGTTATAGTGATGATTATTACTGTCTTGCTCAACTCTCTCCACTCTCCATCTTAAAATGCTGCCCAAGTTCTAACACTCCAAGTCCCAGGGGAATCTTTCCCCTGAACACCTATTTTTTAAAAATTATTGTATTTATTTATATTTAGAGAGAGGGAAACATCAGTGTGTGGTTGCCTCTCATGTGCCCCCAATGGGGGACCTGGTCCCCAACCCAGGCATGTGCCCTGACTGGGAATTGAACCGTCGACCCTTTGGTTCGCAGGCTGGCACTCAATCCACTGAGCCACACCAGCCAGGGCTGAACTCCTATTATGTTTGCAAATACAGAACTTCTTCCTGCCTTTGGTTTAATAGGTCATGGTACCTCTGAAAAGGGTTTCCATGACATTTTGGCTTTCTGTTTTACTACCTGCCTTCTAAGCCCTATTATAAATTCACCTCTTCCAGGAGGACTTCCTAAAACTTATCCAGCTCCAACTATCCATTTCTTCTAGCATTTACCCTAACACCCTGTAGAGTTTTACCTGACTATATCAGTTTGGGGTTACAGATCACTGCTTTGTGTATAGGGATAGTCTTATCTCCTTCAAGGGACAGAGTATCCCCAAGGGTCAAAACCAGTCTACTTGGTATTTACTTCACAAGTGCTGGGCTTTGCACTCAAAAGACATTCAAGGCTGCTGATTCATTTCCCCTCACTAATACAATGAATACCTTGTCACTGCCTCCTAATTAGTCCACAGATAAGCCCTAATGGCTTATCTATTTCTCTCTAGCCTACCTCTGCCTCAGAACAAAACCCAGGTGCTAAAAAGTTTTTTTCTATGCTGTAACAGTTCTCTTTTCTCTGATCACAATGCTAGATTATATGTGATGATACTGAAAGCAAATGGATTGGAAACTCCAGGTAAGGAAGGTAAAGTTTACATTGAAAGAAGGTCCTTTAACAGAATTAGACACTTTTCCATGCTTTAATGAGTCTTTCTATCAACTTTTCTGCTCATCCGCCCACACCCTGATGTTATGACTGTTATACCTCCCTGCAGCCTCCACCCTACTGCTTACTAGCCAAGGGAAGGGGCAAGAAACATTAGTTGAAATGTTCCCAAAGGACCAGAAAGAACATTCCACCACCTCCAAAAATAGAACCCCATCTCAAAAGGACTTCCTCCAACACACTCCATTGGCTCTCATTAGGCCTTGAGATGCCTAAGCAGTGGCCTAAAATAGGTTCCAAAACGTGTTAGGTTTCAGTAGGATCCTACAGAAACCCTGTCAACCTGTATAACATGACATGTCTTTACTAAGGCAGGGAAAGAATGCATTAATCTAGAACGTGTTTATGTGTGAATATGAGGGCTTTAGGAGGGGTGGGTAGGTAGACTCAATGTTTTTAAAGTTTAAAGTAAATTCTGAGTTGCTCTTTTCTTGTTAGGTTCAAGCTCCAAAATAAACCCTGGGAACTGAGCATTACTCAGCAGAGAAGCTGCTTATGAGTGTGATGGGGGGACTGGGACAGGGCGGGAACATGTTGGAAAGGTGAGGTCATCATCCAATAATATTTAGCTGATAATCTCCATAATAATTTGCAGAGACATGTGCACAGAAAAAGAGCTAAAAAAAAAATGGTTGTACTATCAACCAATTAACCAGGGCTTAGGTCTGCGGCTATAGAGATCCTAAGAAGCAAACCTTAGAGATCCTAAGAAGTCAATTGCCCACATAGCTGACTTCTTTCATACCCTCTCCCTCACCAGCTCTGTCCAGTGAGAGCTTAGTATAAGATGGGGCAAATATAACAGGCTCTTTAAAAAAAAGAATTGGAGGCCCTGGCTGGTGGTGTAGCTCAGTGGATTGAGCTCGGGCCTGCGAACCAGACAATCGAGGTTTGATTCCCAGTCAGGGCACATGCCTGGGTTGCAGGCAGGTTCCTTGCAGGCCAATTCCCAGCAGGGGATGTGCAAAGGGCAACCATACATTGGTGAAAAAAAAATAGAATTGGCCGTGGCTTGGTGTGGCTCAGTGGATTGAGCGCTGGCCCGCAAACTAAAAGACAGAATCATAAGAGGAAAAAAATCATAGGTTTTTAAAACTAGAAAATGCCTTAGAAATTATCTAGTGACTTGTGAAGCGTCCAAGCCAGTCTGAATAGAACCTAGGTCTCATAATTCCCAGTCTGGTCCTTTTTTAATGTGTTGTACAAAGACAACTACCTACAGCTTTATGTCATCCTATACCAATATTCTCAAAACTTGCAAGAATTCTTAGTTCCTGAAGAGCAGATTTTCAGTGGGCTAGGTGTTATTTGTTCCTGTGATCCTAATCTGAGTGCTGAACTTGCAAAAAAGGCAGTAGAGAGCAAGTTAGAATCCGAGAAAGGGGAAGAGCTCTGACAAACCTACTTCTTTTATTATAGCCAGCATATGTATCAAAGCTGTCCAATCCCTGAGTATCTGGCAGAGCTTCTCTTGGCAATTAAAAAAGCTAAGGGAAATTTCATGAACTATTTATTAACTTAAACGGCCTAATATCTTTAGCTATGACTCAGAGACATGTACCAAATACATTCCAGAAAGGCACTCATACAAGCATTAATGGCCTTTGAAATGAAATCAAGAACATTGACTACACAAAAAACCTGAAGCTAAAATACCCTTTCCATTGATAATGACAACTTAAAATTTAATACAGTATGAATTTAATTCCCAAGTACCCAAATTTTGCAAGAGGTCTCTTTTTGGCTGGCTTTCTCTTCTCTCCCCATTTGCTTGATTAACAAATATATAAAAAAAGATACACTGTCTCTGAGCCACGAAGACACGCCCAAACACTCTTTGTCTAGACCCTCCGTGGGAATCCAGGGCCTCCCCAACCAGGCTTTGCTGTGTCATGCTGCCGTGAAATGGAAGGACAAGGGATGGTGATGGAGGGGAATGGAAGCGCTCTGGCATCTCATTATATGGGCCTCATCCCGGGCTTGGATTTTTCTATTAGCCATGTCCTTGCCCACTTAGTCTACTGAGCTACAAAGAAACATTTCTTTTCCAGAATCTGCCCCTATACCTAGCTCTTGTGGGCTGTACTAATTTCAATATGGGATCAGGTAGTTCAGCACAGAGATCCCCACCTCTCCTACCTCAAGCTGCCCCTTTGGAGCAAAGGTTTGAGTTGGGGAGGAGACTGTTAAAAGAAAGATGAGGATTAATCTCAATATTATCTCATATTCTTTCCCCCAAACTCCCTCGCTATGGAGACAAATCTGGGGTGAGGGTAGACTCATCAATAGAACGCTACAGAGAAAAAAAAAAGGAAATATAGGGAAATAGAGGCTTGAGCAATACAGTAAGACTAGAGATTCATCAAAAACCAAATTATAGCTTGAGAAAAAGATACAGATAACCAGACTGAAGATAAAATACACAGGACAATAATTTATAGGTAAATAGGTACTTGAAATAAGGAGATAAATGCTGAGAAATAACTACATGTAATCTGTTAAAAATTAATGTCTATATACCGGATGATAAGGCATGGATGGAGATGTGAGAAGAGATGTAAAACGGTGAACAAATAACCCGTTGTTTATAGAGGAGCCTTCTCTCCTCTTGAACTTCCCCACCTCATCCTTATTTGAGGTCCTCAACCCAACCAGAAGCAGCTGGTCTTTATCTTTGCAGCCCCTGCCCCGCTCCCTCAGTTTCGTTTACCTGTTATCAATGAATTACTAGTGTGCTCCAAAGATGGAGGGAGGACCCCGGGGCTCCCGGTGCCTGCTCTGGGCTGGAGAGAAAGGCAGCTGTGGGGGCTTTGCCGGCTTTGTCTTCTCGCTCCCTCTCGCTCGTCAGTGACAGTCTGCTCAGTCTCCCCCTGCAATGCAGCCCCTCCTAAGGGCGGAAGGACTCCGCGCCCCTCCCCGCCTGACTCGGCTAATTCAAAGGATAGGCTCCAGAACACTTTCAGGAGGGAGCCAGGATTAAGGCGTCTCCGTAGGTTTATTGGTCTGCACAGTTATTGCTCAGCTCTTTCAGCACTCCCATGCTGACCGAGGGTCCATTGAGTGAGGCGTTAATTGTCCTGATTTTAGACCTATGGATTAAAAATCTTAACTCTGGACAACCATGGAGCGCCCCTTTATTACCCAATTTAAAGATTTCAGGTTACTAAATGTTTTCGAGATTCAGGAAAATTCTCCATCCCTCCCTCCAATCCCCACTCCTTCCGACTAGCCTCCCCATGCTCACAATGGGAAAATAAACCGAGCCCGGTTTCATTTGGGGTAGATTGGGGTGGGGGGTGCTTCTGAGAAACTGGGAATTTGGTTGGGTCTGAGGGATTTGCGGGGTCCGCTTCGCTTTGCCCCCCAAAGCCTGGTGCGCGAAGACAAAGTGCGATTCCGGGGGGCTCAGCTTGGGTCCCCGGCCCTCACCGAGGGTCCACATTCCGCAGTGCGCGGAGCAGGGGCGGCGGGCCTCGGGGGCTCAGGAGGCCGGTCCCAGGCCCTCCCCGTGCAGTGCCGCATCAGTCCAGGGGGGAGCAGTGCGCTCGCCTCCCCGCCGGACGGGTTTCGTAATCGCGTCGCCGGCGTTTCCGCCCTCTGCCAGCCCCACCTCTGCCGGCCCGCCCTCGCTCTCCGCCGCGCGGAGGAGCAAGCCCGGTAACCCCCACACTGGCCGCCACGGAGCGGGAGCCCCCCCCACAAGCTGCAGCCGGGCGCCTGGATGCCGGAGCCGAGCAGGTAAGACCGTGGAACTGGTCCCCCAGCGGGGCGCCCCGCCTGCCCTGCCCGACGGCGCTGCACCGGATGCCGGGGGTGGGGGAGGAGGGTGTCCAGGGCTGGGGACTGCCGGGGTCGGTGGGAAAAGGGCTGCGCCCTTGAGTAGCCGCCCTCATCCAACGCTCTTGGGGCGCGCAGGGTGAGGTGGCCAAACAACAGAAGGGAAAGAGGGGTTTGGGGTGTTGGGGGCGGTGGGAGAGGGAGAAGGTCTCCTCTGGGACTCGGTGACCTCGGTGGTGGCGTGTGCCGGACCAAGTGGGACCGTGTTGGTTCTCGGAAGGCTTGGATGTGAGATTTAGGTAGCCACGGAAGACAATGACAAATCCTGAAGATTTGCCATGGGGTCCCAATCCCAGTTCAGCGTTGGGAAGAACAGAGAATTTCTGCGTAGAGTTGTGGGGTTGGCAGAAATAAGAGTCTGTGTGACTGAAATGACTGAACATACCGGGGTGGGGGAACTTAGGGCCTATTGCTGTTTCATCTTAAGGCCCCACAAGACCTTCCCTGGTCAAGGGCACAGTTGGTGCTGGGGTACATGCCTGTCACTTGCCTGAAAAGTGGGGTCTGCACCTACATCTCTAGAGCGCCTCCGTAGCCCTTCATGTCTGGAGGTCTCCACGGGGGACCAGCTGCAGCCCTGGGCTTATTGCCCACCCCATTCTCTTAATTCTCTTTCTCTTTCTTTCCAGCTGCTTCTTGTGAAGGCTTGTCAGGCAGCGGGTTGGAGGCCTTGGGGCTGCAGGCAGCGGGACCGGGAAAACCGGTTTGGGGCTAGACCAGGGACCGGGGAACTACCTCTGCACATCCTTCCTCCCTGGAACCTTTCTCCCATCCCTTCTGCTCACTCCCCAGGAGTTTTGAAGCTGCTAAGCCCCAGTGTGACCTTGGTGTCTTTCCCAGTTCCAGTTCACCCTTCCTATTCGGGACGCAGGCCCGGTTCTCAGAGCTACTTGGCTGTCAGCTTCCGGATTTATATGATTTCATTCTGATACCTCCTGCCGTTTTCCCAGCCCCTCCCCTTCACTGTGGGGTTGAAATAGTGGGCAATGGATTTCATACTCTTCCTGGGCTCACCAGCTCAGGACTTCGTTTTTCCCACAACCCAATCTTTAGATATTTTAAAGAATGAGAGTGGCTGCCAATCACTCTCACTTTTCCAGCCTTTTCTCCCCACTCTTCCACCCCCAATTTCACCCTGCCCAATTTTCTCCACACTCTGACCCACCCCCCACCCGCCCCACCCAAGTTTCAGTGACCCTTATATGTCCTATGTCCTAGGGAATGGAATTTCCTGGTCACTTCTCATCATTCTTGGTCATTGCATGCCAAGTCCCACACATACACTTTCCCTCCACTCAGTTCTGGCCAGGTCCCTGGAAAAGGAACAGAAACGTCCTTGTTCCCTCCACTGCCCCTTTTCCTCTCTCCTCCCCCCTCTTTTCTTCTCTCCCCTCCCACCGTCCACTTCTGTCCACTCAGCTTTGAGCAGGGGGTGCTGGGGAGAGTCCAGTCTCAGTATAGCCTGTCTGGCGAGGTTGGGGGTTTCCTCTGATTCTTCATTGTTTTCTTCATCATCCCCCACCCCTGCCTCCAACTCTTACCACAGGCTGCCACCACCATCACAACAAACCCTGTGACTGACTTCCCCATTGACCACAGCTCCCCTTACTGGACAGCTGTGTTCTGACTTCCGCCCTGTCTCATTACTCCTCCCCTCCAGTGGGAAGGGAAGTAAGAGAAAGCCCAGACTCCTGGGTCCTTCCCTCCCTTAGGAGCTGTATCTCAGTGTTTGTGAAATCTCATCTCGAGGCTGTTAAAAAATAAAATAACTCCACTCTTAGATCAGTCCAGGGTGCCAGACCCTCGGGGTTCCAAGCCTGAAGGGATGGGAGGTTCCTATTCATGATCAAGTGCAGTATTTATAAAACTGCCCTGTTTGGAAACTATGAGGTTGCCTGTGTTACAGGACTGGGGAAATGCGGTGATGAATATGGAGGGAAGTCAGGTGTGCCCTACCCCGGCTGGCAGTAATGAAAGTTCTTCCTTGAACACTAATGCTATTGGAAGGCTCCTTGTGTTGGCTGGTGACACTTGGGGATGGAAGTGGTGAGAGGGAGCAGAGAACAGGTCACAGCATGAGGGAAGGAGGGAGGGAGGGAGGGAGAGCAGGAGGCAGGCAGGCACAGGAGCAGTGGCACGATAAAACATGTGAAAGGGTGGGGAGGCTGGAAAAGATTTCTCATGGGACGGAAGGTACCTGGCACGTGTCCTGTACCCTGTACACAGATGATCTATACAAGACACATGTGCAGAGATACGGCCATGCTGTATACGTGCAGACAGGTATATGTGCAGACACGTATACGTGCAGAGTGCAGTGAGACAGGACCTGGGGCAGCACAGTGTGTACAGCCTTAAGGAAAGGTCTCAAGGTCAGGTAATGAAGGAACTGTTAAATGTCTTTGGGAGGAGTTGAGGGAAATGAGGAAGAACAAGGGCAGGGAATAGAGACAAGAAATTTCTCACCGTGGAAAGTCTTTCTTGAGAATCAGCCTGCTATAGTTAGGCACCTAGGACTTAGGTAGTCAAGGTCTTAGAGAAAATCTAGGTGTTCAGGGTAAGGTTAGAAAAAGGGGAGGGACAGGGTGGAGACCTTGTTTGTGAGAACAAAAAACCACCATTTCCTCTTCAAAGTCACTTAAATGCCCCTCCCTTCTGCCCTAAACCCAGAGAGAAGGGAGGTGGAGTTTGTAGTACCCCCAAACTTTGCTCATTTCTGCCACTATCCTTTGGTCCCCTCCTGTCACCCCAAGTACTTCCGGCTCCCTTCCCGTCCCTCCGTAGCAACAGCTACTGCTCCTTAACCCCGTGGTGTGCTTTGGTTCTGGTCCTTTCTCTGAGAGTCAGTGAGGTTATGTTTGGAGGAGGTTGGTGTTGGGTACAGGACTAGGGACTTTGAGGGAGAACAAGAATCTGGGATGAGGCTTCTCAAGGTGGGAGGGATTTCTCAGTAACCTTTCTTCTCTCTCTACTTTCTGCCCATCCAGGGTTCCAGGCCTGAGGAAGACGTACCCTTGTGCCTGCCTGTCCACTTCACTCTGCTGGCCCTGCTGATCTCTCAGGGTCTGGGACACTGACCTTTGCTGTTCAGCTAAGGCTTCTGAGGACTCTACTTTCTCTAGACCCGTCCTGCTGAGTGAACCCAGGGTATTGTCACACCTGAAGGGAGTGAGGAGTGGGCAGTCCAGGCACCAGAGCAAGAGCCCTGTGGGGCCCCAGGCAGAGGAGTGAAACTGGAACCATCAGGGAACATGAGTGAATTTTGGCACAAACTGGGCTGCTGCGTGGTGGAGAAACCCCAGCCGGTGAGTCTCCCCACCCCCACCCCAACACACACAGAAATCAGTTACCGTATACTAGGAAGTAGACACACCATCTAGGATCTGCTAAAAAGCACTCTTCTTACCTCCCTTTCTGTCAGGATAGCTTCTATGGGCAGGCAGGTCCGCACTAGAATAAAGGGGACTGGATGATGGAAGAAGCGAATAGCCCTAGCTATCACTTCCTGTACCTGTCCATTCTGAGCTAGGCCAGGGGTGTAGGTGGAGCTTAATACCTGTCAGTTCTCCCCATTGTTTCCTCATCAGCCAGAGGTGACTTTGACATGCCCTTTCTTTGTTCAGTATGTATTCATTCTGCCGGCCACTGCCCTCACCACCCTGCCTGTGTCCTCTCCGTGTTGGCTCTTCCAGCCTTGCTTTTCATTCCCTGGTGATTTATTTTCCTGCCATATCCCCTCTCCTACCAGGCCCTTCGCTCTTCCCTTAGTACTTTTCAAGACTCTTTTCTGCTTCCTCTCCTGTGACTGCAGGAGGGGATTTCAGACATAACTCCCCTGTTTTCTGCAAGCAGAAGAAGAAGAGGAGACGGATTGACCGGACCATGATTGGGGAACCAATGAATTTTGTCCACCTGACTCACATCGGCTCTGGGGAGATGGGGGCTGGAGATGGACTCGCAATGGTAATCAGGGAACGGGGACAGGCTGATACGGGGTTGTGGCCCAGAACGGTTCCTCTTTTTGAAAGTTCGAGCAGGGGACAGAACAGAGTACTGGATGGGAAGTAAGAAGCTAGAATTCTAGTCCTGGTCACC